CCTCCTGAGATCCAGTGGGTAGCTCTGCGGAATATCAACCTTCTCCTCCAAAAGCGTCCAGACATTCTTGCAAATGAGATGCGTGTCTTCTTCTGTAAATACAATGATCCTCCATACGTCAAAGTAGAGAAGTTGGACGTCATGGTGCGGTTGGCCAGTGAGCGGAATGTGGATACGTTACTAGGCGAGCTAAAAGAGTAAGTATACGGTGTCAACAGATCATAAATCCATCAGATCACGAAAACGCACTGAAGTTGATATCTCTTATATCAGGTACGCGTCAGAGATAGACGTCGACTTCGTTAGGAAAGCGGTCAAAGCCATTGGACAGACTGCAATCAAGATCGACTCTGCGGCACCAAGGTGTGTTCAGGTGTTACTGGATCTGATTCAAACGCGGGTTAGCTATGTGGTTCAAGAAGCTGTAGTAGTCATCAAAGTGAGTATTGACCCATGTCCAAGCATTTGACATTATACTGATTTCGTAAAATGTCCACAAATCCTTTTGTAGGACATCTTCAGGAAATATCCGCATAGCTACGAAGCGGTGATACCAACACTGTGCTCCAATTTGGACGAACTCGATGAACCGGAAGCCAAGGCATCACTGATCTGGATTATTGGAGAGTATGCGGAGAAGATAGAGAATGCGGATGAATTACTTGCCATCTTCCTGGACACTTTCAAAGAAGAGAGCTATGCAGTAAGTGCAACAGGCGCCGTTTTCTAATGCCTATCGCGTACGATCTAACAACGAGCAATATTCATGCATTTCCTTATCATCTTTTCAGGTTCAATTGCAAACTGTCACAGCGATTGTCAAACTATTCCTCAAGAAGCCAGATCATGCTCAAGCAATTGTGCAGCGGGTACTTCAGACTGCTACGAAAGATTCAGATAATCCGGATGTTAGGGACAAGGCGTATGTGTACTGGAGATTACTTTCGACGGATCCTGCGGCTGCAAAGGTGAGGCACCATCTCTTCCAGTTTACATTCAACCCTGGCTAACCATCATTACTTGCACGATGGCGATTTAGGCTGTGGTGTTGTCGGTCAGGCCGCCAATATCGCTACCGAATACCACAGTCGCGCCAGCCGTACTAGACGAATTGCTTAGTGAAATTTCGTCATTAGCCAGTGTTTACCACAAGCCAGCTGCAACTTTCATCGGAAAAGGGAGATACGGAGTCGACGAGATGTCGAAGCGGAGAGTGGAGTAAGCCAAAAGCAAAGCAGCTGCTGAAACCACAATGCTGATGCCTCGTCTGCATTCATAGCTTCGACGGCGCTGATACGTCCACCCAAAGAGCGCTCGAAACGGTAGTTGCAGGCCAAAAATCCGAGAATCTGCTCGACTTCGATACCGATGAGCCGTCAATTGCGGATACTTCTATAGGGGCGAACACGGTGCCAGCCGGCTATGCCCCATCATCCGCAGCCATCGCTTCGGTTGCGTCAGCGAAAAACCCTCTTGATGAGCTCATGGATCTGTTCTCTAACAGTAATTTGCAAGCTCCCACTACTGCCCCAAAGATGAGTGTGACTTCCCCGAATGAAGCGAGTGTGGGCACTGCGGCGGCGGCGTCGTCGCCATTTGACTTTGACGGATTTGGTGGTTTGGGCAGTTCGAGTGCGTCTCAGCCCGCTAGTAAAACACCAACATCGCAGAAACCGGACTCAGAGGATCTGTTGGGGCTGTTCTGAGGTGCAAAGAACAATACTGGTATAGACGTTGTATAATACGGATATCAGGCTGATGTCGGGAAGATCAGCCATCGGAAGCTCTAGATATGTGAAGCTCAAATAGCGACATCCTTCCCATAGGGAAAACACGACTTGTAATGGCTGGTACAACCCATTCTTCTTTCTCTTCTACAACTGCTGTGAGATCAATGCAACATTATACAACTGAGCCTTATAGGCTATCCCATGCGTGGGTTGGGTCGCGCTTCAACGAGAGCCCAGATTATACACAACGATAAGAATTATACGCAATTGGTCGATCCTCTAGTCGAACCCATGATGCACGCAGCCACATCCCCATCTCTCTCTTCCCCGCTTCCATTCCCTCGTATGTCGCTCAACTGGGGGCGTGCTTTCTCTTCGAGCCTTGACTCCATCAACCTTTCCGTTAACCACCATCTGCCATTCTAGACACCATTTCCTCAATGTGGTTCCATCAGCTCGTCGTCGCGCAGGAGGGCGGTACTGTCGAATCGATGAAGGTGAATCGATCCAGTCATCCACATCGGACATCTTGACGCAAGAAGTTGACGGTTTACAGCATTCGCATTCCAGTTCCCGGCTGCTTGACGATTGACCAGAAAATACCTTGAAAGCAGAGGAAGATACGAAGGACAGGTAACTGATGAATGCGCGAGGCTGGCTGGATGATAATTGACGCGTGCGATTCGGGAGAAGGCGAGGTACGAGAGCCAAGTATGACGAGTCCATGACCGTCTGAAGAGAAATATCGCTTTCCAATGCGGATCGGATTTCGGTTACGAGCGGGTCACATTCGTCCAACGGCATAAGTGGCGGCGAAGTAGCGGGAAACAAAGCACAATTGATAGGACGACCGCTCCGCGACCTCTCCGTACGGCTTTGAGGTGGGACCCTATTCTCTCCATTCATCAACAACACCTGCAGATGAGGGCACAATCCTCGAACAGGATACTCTTCCGGTCCATCGGGAGGAAACAGCGAAGAGCGTCGGTACTTTCTAGAACTCGGTGACGGAGCTGTTTGGCTAAGCAAAGATGCACTACTGGTGTTGGCGCTAGCGAAAAACTGTTTGGTAGGCTTGAATGATGATGATACATATGAGTGAGGGCGAGATTCAGCACCATAAGTAGAGTCTGGTGTGATGATGTCCGTGAATGCAGAATAGTCCGATGCAGTGGCGGGGTCTAGCGAAGGAGGAGTTACAAGCGGTGCTTCGACGACGGAGACGTGGGTATCGTCACACTGTCAATAGCAAGCCGTTGCTTGTCAGTTCCGCTGGTGACTTCCTGTATAGACTGTAATACGCACGTTACGATAGTTGGCATCCCTTTCCTTGTCTTTCTTATCTCTAGGCTTTGGTGCAAGTCCAGCAATATCCCTACTTCGGCTTCTCTCAACGCGTCCGTCAACTTCATTCCTGTTCCTTCCTCTCTTCTCACCACTTGATCTGCCTGTCCATCGCGGTATTGGGGAAAGCGCTGGTTTCGGTAGCTCATTGGATTGAGAGAAATAGAGCGACTTTGGCTGTTTGACGACCATAGAAGGTTGTTTGTTTCTTGGAACCGAGAATGCGTTGAGCGTGTCGTCGATACAAGGTGAAAAGGAGCGAGTTTTGCACTGCGTTGATCTTGGTAAAGCCTGCACCGTTCTATCCTGAACTTTCGGTTTCTCGACAGATGGCGGGTCTTCATATTGAGGATAGTAGAGACGCCCATGGGAGTCGTAAGCCGGGAGAAGCATGTTGCGTGACAGTTGGTCAGCGTGGGTAGCGAGTTGCTTCGACGCCACCTTGTCACTAGCAAGGATACATGTGCTGCAGCGCGGAGTACGCCGGCACGTCTGGTAGAGGAGGGATTATAACTGATGATGGTGGTGATATGCGTTCGAAACTCTGATGACCCGACCCGACCACGACAGCGGGAGATGGACGAGGGCGGGCCTGTCGTGCGACCTGGATGGGACCGTTTGGAGCGCACCAGATGGTTCCGCCCGCCGCCCCAGTAATCTCCTATCAATGTCCAGCGCCGATCTGCCCGCAGCATTTGCCGCCGTCGTGGTTGGCTGGCTGCCCCGCGCCAAGCTTGAGACATTGGCGGGGATTAGCGGGGAGCTAGCTGGGGTAATCACCCTGTACCTCGTGGGCTCCGATAATGTTAAAAGCCGACCCGAGCGGCAGAAGTAGTGCAAATCAGCTTTTCAACCGTAAAGTGTGGCTTCAAGAGCTGCTAGCTGGGCAGCTGCGCAGGCTCTGTTTGGCAGCTATTGGGGAAGGTCACTGGTATGGCTGCTAGTGGGCCAGCGGGTGTAAACAGCTGCACAGTTAGCTGACAGAGCTGCTAGAAATAGGTTGTGACCAGCGCTGTCATGAAAGCTTCGCTATAAGTATGTATCTGTTCAAAAGAGTCTTCTAGCTAATCTTCTGAAAGCTATACGCCGACAAGCGATAGGTGTAAACCACACTTAGCATGTTCTATTGTCCTTTAGTTGGAAGACCTCTCAGCTAGCTCCTCAGCTTGAATTCCTTGACTAGCTCTTCAGCTGCGGTAACCCTGAGAAGTGAGAGCTGGTCCGGGGCGGCTGAGCTTCGTAGAGCGGATACCAAACCGCGCTTAATCTATAACCTGCTAAGGGTGTATACTTCGCGACTATCGTAATAACATAAAAAGTACCACATGAAACAAGTCGAAACGTTTAGCCACAAGTCGACGCTACAATAAGATGGCAATTTACCACCACGTCGCGTCCACCTTCCATTGCCTCGACCTTATCCCGGGACTTGTTGAATGGCCGGGAAAGTGGTAGTTGCCTTCGCACATTGGTATAGTAAGTCAGCTTGACGGTTGGCCGACATGGCAGCGTTTGGACTACAAACAGCGCGACGAACTATCTCTAGGTCGTCAACTGTCATATCGGCTGACAACAACTCTGACAACCCGTATGCTGGCTGCGCTAGCTGAGCTGCTAGCTTAATTCTCTCTCTGCGTGCCTGTGCGCATACGGTATTGCTTCTAGGATATACTCGTATAATTCGGGACGCAGTGGGCAAGTTCTCGAATATGCGCCAGAGCTGATTGAAACACAATGAGCAATTATTGATGGGGAAATTGTCGTTGGAAAGCTTCGGCAGTAAAAGTCAAAGGCGGTAATAGCGAGATACACTAAGTACCGTAGTCGAGCAGCTTGTGAAGTGCAGCAAGCGGCAGAATATATAGTCGCACCCGAAAGTCTTGACGGTTTCTGGCGTTTCAGTGGGTCGGTTCCACGTAAAATATTAACCGACTACGGGATTCGAACCCGTGCTCTTTAGCTGGTCTGGTTCACAAGAGAACCGGAAACTAACGTGTTAACCACTTCACTAAGCCGGCAGAGTAACCTGACTCTCGGAAAGTCGAGAACTGAACACGACAGGATGAAAGAACTGGCTAGGGTAGTCGATAGGCCCGCACGTGACCCAGCCGACGCGCTTTCCTTTCCCCAAGAACGGTCGATCGCGCTTATGGAAGCTGGAAGATATTGCACGGGCCCGCTGAAATTCTCTGACATTCTTGGTATTTAACTACAAGTACCCTAGCCACTCTTTCCAGCTCACGGATCGCTCTGGGGATCTCGCCTGACCCCGTACCGGAGTTCACGCTCACGCAGAACCAGTTACTCTACCATTTTTTCCCCTAGTACCCATCGGAATTGTGAGTCTTTTTCGTGTTATCTCGCTCTTCTCGTACCTTGTCTTCAAATGAAGAGACTCTATGCCAGACATTTGCACGTCAGCAAGAGATCTATCGGGGAATGTCTTCTCGGAAACACAGGTTTTTCTCTTTCGGAAGCTCTTGTGTTCTCGCAGAATTCAGGAACCGGTAGCAGTCAATGCTTTCAAACAATTCGCGCATATTATTCTGATACAATCAAACACCCAACGTTTGCCCTGGACATCCGCATCGTATTTGCACGAGCGCTAATACCATATGCTCTGTCCCTCAGATATCAACCCTTTTTCTGTCTAGGAGTTCCTTTGCCGTGCTGTTTCCGCATTGCTGCGCTTGATCCGGCAATATGCAGTCTACCGATTGGACACCCCCATTAGCCATATATGTTCCGATAGAGGACCAGCAGGGGGTTGACCTTGAGTGGATGAAGGTCGCACTCGGTCAGGTAAGTCCGAGCTTGAATTCGTATCGAAGTTTAGTGTTATATTGGAAAGCTTTGTACTGTAATATCAGATCAATCTTGCTCTTATCACGATGCTTATCGAGGTTTCGTCTATCCATATCCCTTCCCATACGAATACCTTTGCTGTTGACTTAGGCTGAGGAAGCGCTTGCCGCAAAAGAGGTACCCGTTGGATGCGTATTTGTCAAGGACGGCAAAGAGATAGCAAAGGCGAGAAATCGCACGAATGAGTGGAGGAATGTGAGATAAGGCGATGCTCCTATTGTGCAAGTCCAGGATGAAGCCTCTCCATCTTCATAGGCTACGTTACATGCGGAACTCGTATCACTTGACGAAATACTCAAAACGCATACACTACCGCTTCATGACGTTACTCTATATGTCACTGTGGAACCCTGTGTCATGTGCGCTTCTGCGTTACGCCAAGTGGGAATTGGTAAAGTATTCTACGGGGCAGGTAACGAGAGATTTGGAGGTTGCGGAAGTGTACTGGACGTAAATGATACGTGCGTGTCCCTGGTACATTCTCTGCTTTCGATGTTGACTCATACATCGATACCTAAAGACCTCGAATCAAGTCAAGCGCATCCTACCAGGCACTCGGTGGATATTACCGACCTGAAGCGATCATGCTGCTACGAAGATTTTACTTGATACAGAATGCCAATGGTGCGATGACAGTCGTCGTTTCATTGGCGTCCCGAACTCACCAGGACTGTTCTGTTTTTGCAGCGCCGAAGCCGAAGAACAAGACTACAAGAGTACTCAAGACGGACATTTTGCCCATCAAATCCAGAACAGCATCACCCAGCAGTACCCCAACGGGCTCACAAACCCCTGCATAAGTATAATGCCAACCATAGTAACGTTCACGGATGCTCTAGCAGAAGCATATTCTGCTTGCATCCATAATTGAGAACATATAAATAGATTTGTGTACCAGCTGTAACGCCCTTCGATAATGATTCGAGTCTTGTGCAACCACCGCTTCGTTATTGCTAGGTTCACGCTGCCCTTCTCGACCGGCTAGCATATGAACTGGATTCTGAACGACTTTTCCAAAAAAAATAAATGATAATTTAGATCTGTGAAACAGTGCAACCTTCCGGGCAAAAGGGTAGCCATGGCTTACCTATGCAAGTGTAAATGCGTCCTTTCGAGCGGAAGGGCACTCTCCCGCTCAATCAAAGGTTGTTGCGTGAAGGCTCGCTGTACATTCTCTTTATCGTTGACAGATGCACTGGATCCGTGCGGTCGCGATCCAGCTAAAAGAGGCAAGATCTCCCGGGCGAGCTGAAGGAAAGAGCTACTTAGCTGAAATTAAGCTTTTCGCCATCCAAAGAACATTACTCACCTCTCTGACCAGCACCGCTGCATCCTGTTTGCTCAAATGCTCCACTATTTGTGCCAAGCCAGAGAGACTCGTGGAGCTGTTGCAGTTGTCCTCTTTTTCGCAGATGATCTTTGTCAATCGTAGGAGGTTGAGCTTCACTATGGCGTTGCTTCTTCTGGAGAGAGCATGGGAAATGCGCTTCACTAGCATGGGGCGAGAACAGCCCAGCGCAAGTGGCGGCGAAACTCGCAACATTTTGGTAAACCTATTTCCCCACTGTTATTAGGCATCGGTCATATGTCACGCGGATTGCGACTCACGGCTCCAGCATGTTATCGAACGATGTCCCAGTTGCCCTGCAGAATGCGCCAATGAGGGACTCTAATGCAGATTTTTCCAAAAGGCGATCCTCTACTCGCGCCGTCTCCTCCTGTAACCTATGGTCCACTCAACAGTAAAATGATTAGAAGTAGGCAAGGGAGAGGTAACCTGATGTCACTAACCATGTGACAATAGCTTCCAATGCGGAGACCTGTTTGGCAGCAAGGATTAGCTAATGAGATTTGTGGCATGTTGCTTTACCTTACCCGCCAGTAAGAATCCACGAGCAAGTCAAGATACACTGTATAGGACCATCACATATATGAGTCGCACACCTCGCTATACGTTCCTGGGTGCTAAAGGGGCTTACATTGGATGCCGTCGACTTTCCATAGCTGTCGCTTGGCACTCTTTCCGGCATTCGCCATATCACACAATAGGGGCAATGCGAAATCTTTCAATGGCGAGTTGATGTCGACCACCTGGCGAAGTATGGGCAGAAGCCCATTTTGAGCTGCTTCCTCTTGTCTTGAACGGCTCAGTCGGCAGAGGTTGAACAAGGTCTGGAAAATTTGTGAACAGATTTCCTGGAAGACGAATTTATGAGTCCGTGTGCGGTTCTTATCGAATATGCTTTGACTCACGTTCATCCCTGGCGATCCGAGCTTGTGCGTCAGCAGGTCAAGAAGGATTCGAATAGCGTCCGCATTTTGCAGCACGTCAAGCAAAGGCTGGCTGGTGGACAAGTGCTTGATGGACTTCAATGCGAGAAGCAGCAATGTCGGCGATAAGCGTGGAAGGCTTCGCAAGAGCGCTATGTTAATATGTATGGGGCTTAGCAAGGTTGCAGTGGTAGGCGATCGTGACGAGTTGTGCAATCACTCACAAATGACGAAGCTTCTTGACCCGAAAGCATTACGGATTCGCACATCTGCCTGACCAGTCTGACAAAACAGTAACAGCAGGACAAGAATTCGGTGCTTAGCGGCTTCGGCGTCTTTGCTGGTATCTTTTACAATGTTTAGGAGGGCGGAAGAGAGGGGATCTGCAATACCCCCCCGGACAAACATGCGGCAGAATTCGTTTTTCGGCGCGGCACTTTGTAGATTGAAGACGCTTTCGATACCTTCTAGCGCGGAAATAACCAGACCCTTGTTGACCGTGTAGTCTTCGTCAAGCAGTTCTACTAGCATTCGAATGCCACGACAACTGAATAGAACAAGCATTTGAGCGGGACTTGATTATAACGCAAGAGTCTCTCACTTACGAGATGAACATTTGCAATGTTAAAGCTGAACTGGTTAGGCTTCTAACAAAGACAGACACTTCAAGTCTGGTTTCTAGCGAGTATCTCTTCGAGATGAAATTCTGTTTGTGAAAGGGAATTTCGTCTGACAGTGTTGTTTAAGGCAAATCCCGGTGAGTGTACTCACCACAATCACTGGTATTCCACCGGTGAGGCATATATGCTCCATAACACCCGCATCTGCAGCTACAGTCTACGAAAGTTGAATTATAAGGGTTTGGATCTCAGGATTCAGGCAAGCCCTTCACTACTTGCCATGTTGATGATCTTTAACAGATTAAGCATGACATCTCTGCTAGGTTTGATCTCCAAAACCTCTAGCACAGCAAGCATACCATGAGCGACGATGAAATGTTCTTGCAGTTCGAAGGAACCTTCCAGCAAAGCGATCTAACGGCTCGCACGGGTGAGCTATCCGTTCGGGTTTCCCACTATAGTTTTTCACCTGCTACTTACCAGTTCATAGCTCGCGTTACGCAACGCTTCCTCGTGCGAGGACGGCTGCAAGTCGTCAATCATCTCATTAACTTTCGCGCACAGCATAGCGTGCTTATCCCGTATCAGGTTTGCCTCTACATCAAATGCAGTGAACGAATCTTCGATCTAGCATTTTGAAGAAGGTGAGAATCCTAAGTTTTCTCATCAAAAGTGCACTTACGTCCGCAAAAGGGTCGTTTCCCTCTTGATCGTTATCCTCATCGTCACCATCACTCCAGGCTTCATTTGGTCGTTTCACATTGAGTTTGAGAGAATCCGAGGTGTTGGAATTGAGGGCTGTGCAAGACGTCTGTGAGTCTCAAACGTCGCTCGATACTAAAATACCAAACATACAGCCAAAGCGCTTCTCATCATCTGCTATAAATACATCGTCATAGCCTTCGTCGTCCCTTTCTGCGTACTTGTTGAGTTTTAGAAGAGCTCGCTCAGTCGATTCGTCGTCGGCATTTGCCGCTCTGAAAGAGTTCGAGCGCGAAGTTGAGCGACTGCCTGGGCTCTGGGATGGATTAGGCTGAGGACGCCTCGCTACCGTCCCAGATGAGCAGGTAGAGGGTGGAGCTAAAAGTGAAGTAAAGCCTTTACGCGAAATTTCGCTCGTCTTGCCACTACTGGATGTGGTTCTTTTTAGCTGTACCGAGAAGAAACATATGGATGAGCATAGCCTTTCTTTTTGAACCTTGACAATCACTCAACTCGTAGTCTGTCTATCTTTCGACTGAAAGCATGTTCGTCAAAATCGA